GCCACCATCCTGAGTGGCTGCAACTAGCAAAAGCTCTGAGACCCCTCCAAATCCCGAGTGTCCCCATACAGTTCCAGTCCAGTCCACCCTCCCTCTGTCAGAGCCCACGGTGAGTGGCTGTGGCTATTTTAGTGCTCTGTCCCGGCTCTGCGCTGTGTAGCTGCTTGGAAGTTTAACCCAAGGGCACTGCTCACAGCTAAGGCCTCTGCTGTTTGTGGGCTTCCAGCCCCCTCTTGTGCCTCCACAATCCTACCAGAATCAAGTCAGTGTCTCTGGTTATATGATCCGCACAAGCTGCTTTTCTATTGCTTTTTCCTGTGGATTTGTCTGTGTTTTAGTCATAATTTGTTTGGTCCTGGGAGACGGTCTGTATAGCTTCCATTCACTCTGCCACCATTTTGGAATACCCCCAGGTGATTCTGATGCAAGAGGACAGTCCTGCTGTAGGGGGTCATGTAAAGGCTCCTGGGGTGGGATGTGCTGCTCTGTGGCCAGGACCCCATACTGTACAATTTCCACAGGGTTCATTTGGCTTCCTTTGTCTGTTTTGTAGCACAGACTGCACTTGCTATTCTCTTGGTCTGTTATTTTTGTAGCTTTCACAGATGAGCATCACTTCTGAACCAACCCTCTTTTCCTAGATGCCTTCTATATAGGCTGATACTTGAGAATCACTTCTTTTTTTTTTTTTTTTTTTAATCCTTACCCATGAGTATTTTTCTATTTATCCCCAGATAGAGAGGGAGGGAGAGAGAGGGAGAGAGAGAGAAACACCGATGTGAGAGAGACACATCCACTGGTTGCCTCCCACATGACCCTGACCAGGGCCGGGGACAAACCACAATTGAGGTATGTGCCTTTTGCCGGAATTGAACCCAAGACTCAATTGGTCTGCAAGCCGATGCTCTATCACTAAGCAAAATCAGCCAGGGCACAAATCAGTCTCAAACAAAACAACACAGTTAGATTTAAACCTTTATAAAATCTCTTAACCAAATGCCCGTAAGGAAGGAATATATAGGTTTTAATTTTTGGAATTTAAAAAGTAACATCCTAAGCAGAACAATGATACAAAAATACATACAATGAGATATTGGAAGTACAGAAGATACATGTGATATTCAATAAATAATATATCTCAGATTTAATGAATGCTTCTAAGGGATTGATGCATTGAATGGTCACTTTCAGGGACAGGTGCACAGGTGCAGTCTCATTAGATATTTACTCATTAGACATCTCTACTGGAATGACCCTCTTACCCCTAATGTAGCCTAAGGGAACATTCTAGAAGGTATTTATTCAACCATAGTTACAGGTCATTTACCTTTAAGTCTTCTGAAAGTATGAGTAAAAAAATGCAGATTTCTGATTTCCACCTTAAATACAGTAAAATACAGGGATTAAAATTTGGGAATCGAACCTGCATTTCTATAAAGCTATTGAATCAATTTTTATACACACTAAAGACTGAGGCCACTTGCCCTGGCTGGTTTGGCTCAGTGGTTGGAGCATCAGCCTGCAGACTGGAGAATCCTGGGTTCGGTTCCCACTAAAGGCATGTACCTTGGTTGCGGTTTGTCCCCAGCCCCTGTTGGGGTTGTATGGGTGGCAACCACTCAATGTGTTTTTCTCACGTTGATATTTCTCTTGTCTCTCTTCCCCCCTCTCTCCCTCCTGCTCTATCTGAAGATAAATGAAAAAATGTCCTTGGTTGAGGATTAAAAAAAAGACTGAGACCACAGCTTAAAAATGCTTCTACAATGATGAAGTTCTCCCAAACAATACAAAACAACCCCTGACGAATGGTGAGAAGGAAGTACCCAAGATCTTAGAAATTTTGAGATGTTGAGATTTTCAGCAAGTCTCTAACCCAGGGTTGAGAGGTTGGCACAAACAGTCCATGATTCCTAAATTGGGAGCCAATTCCTTCCTGAAAAATGCTGCTCACGTTGTTATGTTTAGAGACAGAACAGCTCTGTGTTGTGATCTTAGTTAAGTAGACTATTCAGCAATATTCAGATCCATTTGTTAAAATTCCACAGAATTCCTTATATGTCCATTCCCTCCACAGTATTTCTACTGGGTGGTGTTTGATACAGAAAACAGATTTAGACCAAATTCTACCAAAACTTCCCATTTTATTAGCAAGGAGACACCAGAATAGTCATGTTACCTATTCTTGTAAACTCAGAAAGGTCCTTAATGCTCTGACTTTTGGCTCTTTTGTAAGACTCTTAAACGAGAGGTTCTCTGAGGCTGATGTGACATCATAGTGGTGATGAGAGGCTGACTTTCTGTTTGGGTCAGATTGCAGCCTTCTGTGAAGTAGGAAGGGCCCAGACTGAGAGGGAGCCCTGGCTTGTCCCAAAGATTAGGACACTGGGGTTGTTGATTCTATTTTCCTGGTTCAAGAACGGTTGGTGAGGCCCTAACAATCTTTCCAGTCCACACTATATTCTGAATTCCACTTACTACCATTTATTTCACCAAAGAAAAATGATTTCTAACAATCCTTGTGCTAGTGAACAAACCATCTGGTGTTGATTCCAATAACCATATTTTAAGTTCTTACTAAAGTCCTCTGGAGGGTGGTATTCCTGATAAGTGTATTTAAAATACTAAACAGATGCCTATTTAGTCATTACAAAATCTGTCTTAAAGTAGATGTCACACAGTGTGTTTTAAGGTAAGTTACCAAACAGTATTACCACATGACTGATGTTTCCTTTTTGTGTAAAGGGCTGCCCTCAACATTTAGAAGCACCTTAGCAATCCATGAAAAGTCTCGAATTAAAGGTGGAAGAGTATTGAAGTTCCCAACCAAGTTTTGGGTATTATGTGTTTAAGATATAGTATTTAAAATCTGAAGGAGTAATATTGGGGAAACCACAGTTCCATTATATGTCTCCAGCCTTCTGCCTCCTCCCACAAGGGGGCAGCATTACCCTCGGTTGAGAACAGCTAAAAATTCATCGCTCAGTAGGTTTGTGTGGCTAAAAGGATTCAGACACCCATTCAGAACATCTAAATGGGTAGGTGCAAAGTTGGGCTTGAAGCTACTTAGCAGTGGCTGGGAGAGCAGATTTGTCCTATGAGTGGAAAGACCTTGGGTTGAGAGTAGGTGGAGGCTGAAGAGGTAAACTGAGGGTAGGGGCCATCAGCCAAAAAGATAACAAGGCAGTTAGGTTCACTGAGGTGGCAAAACAAGCCAGAATTTTTTTTTTTTTTCTGTCAGGATGGCAGAACGGATTTGAAGAACAGGAATGGCTAATATGGGATTTTATGTTTGTTGTGTGATGTAGAATGGAATACCTTCCTATTGAAGGTCTTATGTGCTCAGCAGGGGCATGAAATGAACACCAGAGGTGACTTTGGGAATGTGAATCTCCTGGACATTTATACAAATATTACTAAAGGCAGTGGACCCTCCACAGTATGAGGACTGCAGATTTGAGAACATCTTGTTTACATTTTAAGTCACAGAGAGACCCCATTCTCAGGCAGAGACTAGTGATTTATTTCAACAGATATTTCTGCAGGATCTATTTATTATTTACTTAGCTAGGTGCTGGTAGATTAGGCAGTCCGTGATCTCCAAGAACTTATTTTCTCTGTAGGGAAACACAAATTTCTTTTAAAATATGTTCTTTTTTTCTTTCTTTTTTATTTATTTTATTAATTTGTTTTTGTTACAGATGTTTCTCCTTCTCCCCCGCATTGACACCCTCCTCCCCATTCCCCTTGCCCTACCTCCAGCTTTGTTGTCTATGTTCATTGTTCATGCATGCATGCTAATAAGTTCTGTGGTTTATCTTCCTCCCTCAACTCCCCCTCCTCTGAAGTTTGTCAGTCTGTACCCCACCTCTATGTCTCTGGGTCAATTTTGTTCATCAGTTTGTTTAGTTCATTATATTCCACAAATAAGTAAGAAAATGTGATATTTGTCTTTGTCTGCTTGGCTTGTTTCACTTAGCATAATACTCTCCAGGTCCCTCCATGTCATCTCAAAGGATAAGAGATCTTTCTTTCTTACAGCTGCATAGTATTCCATTGTGTGCATGTACCACAGCTTTTCTATCCACTCATCTACTAATGGACACTTGGGTTGTTTTCAGATCTTAGCTAATGTAAATAGTGCTGCTATGAACATGGGGGTACATATATTCTTTCTGATTGGTGTTTCAGGCTTCTTAGGGTATATTTCTAAAAGTGGGATCACTGGGTCAAATGGCAGTTCAATTTTAAACTTTTTGAGGTAACATCATATTGTTTTCCATAGTGGCTGCACCAGTCTGCATTCCCACCAGCAGTGTACTAGAGTCCCCTTTTCTCCACACCCTAGCCAACACTTGTTGTTTGATGATTTGTTGATGGTGGCCATTCTGACAGGTGTGAGGTGATACCTCATGGTTGTTTTAATTTGCATCTCTCTGATGATTAGTGATGTTGAGCATTCCTTCATATGTCTCTTGGCCATTTGTATGTCTTGTTTGGAGAGGGATCTATTTAGCTCCTCTGCCCATTTTTTAATTGGGTTCTTTTTCTTTTGTTGAGTTGTATGAGTACTCTATATATTTTGGAAATTAACCCCTTATCTGATGTATCATTGGCAATTGTGGTGTCCCATATAGTGGGTAGCCTTTCCATTTTGATAGTTGTTTCTTTTGCTGTGCAGAAGCTTTTTAGTTTGATGTAGCATCATTTTTTCCTTTAAAAATATGGAATGCGCCCTGGCCAGTTTGGCTCAGTGGTTAGAGCGTCAGCCTGCGGTCCAGAGAGACCCAGGTTTGGTTCCCACTAAGGGCATGTACCTCGGTTGCAGTTTGTCCCTGGCCCTGGTTGGGTCATGCGGGTGGCAGCCACTCGATGTGTACCTTTCATGTCAATGTTTCTCTCTCTCTCTCTCTCTCTTTCTCTCTCCCCCTCCTCCTCTATCTGGATGGAAAATGAAAAAATGTCCTCGGGTGAGGATTAAAAAAAATAAAAAAAAATGAAATGAAAATATGGAACGCTTCACAAATTTGCCTGTCATTCTTGTGCAGAGGTCAGGCTAATCTTCTCTGTATTGTTCCGATTTTAGTATATGTGCTGCTGAAGCAAGCACTAAAATATATTTTTATTGTCTTTTTAGAGACGGTGGAAGGGAGAGAGAGATAGAAGCATGAATGTGAGAGAGAAACGTGAATTGGCTGCCTCCTGCACACCCACTACTGGAGACTGAGCCTGCAACCCAGGCATGTGCCCTGACCAGGAATCAAACGGAACCTCTCAGTCCATGGGATGATGCTCAAGTCACTCAGCCACACTGGCCAGGCACAAATTTCTTTTTAATTATCGAAAGCATCAGCGAGCATCGTTTTTGGGCAGGTGCCCTCTCCTGTTCAGAACATTTGGGAAAGAATTGACGGACCTAGAACCATGACTGTCAGCTTTGGCTGCACACTTTAATCACTTAGGGAGTCATTCAAAGCTTTTAAGACACATATATTTCGAACCCAACATTATTGGTGCCCTCTATATTTTTCTTTTCTCATGTTCCAGACGTAAATCTAAGAAACTTAAGTTTCTCTTATTACTCCTATTTTTCAGAGATGCACAAATGTCACATTCTTTCTTTTAGCTTCCATGTGTGTGTAACAAGGCGATGAGAGGTTATTCTAGAAATCCCAATACCACAAGAAGTTATCTATAACTCTAAGAACTCCAGGGCTCGAGTGGTCCACATACTTCCTCTAGCCAGCGTATCTGATGCAACAGCATTCCAGCCCAACGGAATAATGTCAGTCTCTTGGAACACATTGTGTGGGATTTGACATATATTGTTCTGCTCTAGCAATGAAGTCAGTCTCTTTAGAAAACACTCAGAGAAAACAATAAAGGAATATATATAACAGAAGGACATTACCCAAGCCAAGTCAAGCCACTCTTGTTATCAGCTCTGGAACAAGATATTAATAATGTTTGAGTCTATCTCATTTTATATAATAAGTACACAACCATTCCTGCATCCTTTCTTTTTGTCCATGCCTAAAGTTCATCAGGAACCCTACTGAAAAATGATCCTTGTTCTTTTCTTCTTTTGCTCTCAGTGCTGTTTTTGGCTCCTCTAATCAAATGAGTCATTCCTGGAGTGTTTGGTTTGTTTTATGGTCGTGGCACCCTGGGAAAGCAGGGCAGCTCACCTGTCTCCCCCTACGGCTGATTCTAGCTGGGAAAACCCCCAACATGTGTGTCTGTAATAAAAGACCCTACGAAAGCAAAATAAATCATTTTTCTACCTCTACTTCTTTGGCACAATTAAAGGCGGATCATCTCGCGATCCTGGCCCCGAATTAGGTTGCAACATCTGATCTGATGGCACAAAGCAAGATCAATACCCGCCACCATAAAATGTCAATGGTACATAAATTAGGAAGAGATTATTTTATAACTCTGGCCCCAAGCAGTGACTGTTTGGGTGCAAGCCATACTGTTGGTCAGTGAAAAGAGAAAGCAACTTCACTTAGCAGCAGGGTAGGCTTTACTAGGATTACATTATGTTCTATTCCTAGTTCTTTTTATTGATCTCCAAATAATGAATTGAAGCGTGATGATCCTCTCTAAAGTTTTTTTTAACATTTTACTACTAAAATGATATCAGAAAGTTTCTCACTGTGGCTGGAGAAGTATCTGAAACTAATCCAGGCATCGGGGTTGCTGGGTATAAGGATTTTGATCATATAAGATGATTTTGGCTAGCACCAAGATGAGGTCTTACCTAATACTTACAAGAATGTTTCAGAGTTGTAGCTAAGTTGGCTGCTGATGAACAAATGCTTCTCCTCTCTGTCCTTCCCTTGGCCACCATGCATTTTCTTGATATGAGACCCAAGTTTGTTTTTAAATTTCCAAAATGGAAATACATATTTTTTCTCATTTCTTATTAATGCAGATTTTTTGGGAAAATAATTCAAGAAATCCATGGAAATAAAATAAGGAAATAAATCTCGCTCATTATACCACACTCAACAATAATTACTGATTGCGTGTTAGCATATCTGTTTCCAGACACATTTTTCAAAAATGAGAATCAGCTAAATTAATAGCACTCCTCTTCCCCACCATTTTTTAATTGAATGAGAATTAGCAACAAAGGTTTTAGGCAAGTGGAGGTCAAAATATCACATCAATTATTGATAAACTTTTAAGATTGAAGAGTGTTTTATGGCTGGAGTCAAGAGGACTCTCTAATACTGAGACTTTTTATTAGACACACTTAATACAATTAATTACATCACTTAAAATAACATGTCCATCGTCACATAGTGTGTGTCCCTTTGATTGAATGGAATACAACATTTGAAAACTAGTGTAAGCTAGCCCTGGCCAGTTTGGCTCAGCGGTTAGAGCGTCGGCCTGCGGTCCGGAGAGACCCGGGTTCGGTTCCCGCTAAGGGCACGTACTTCGGTTGCAGTTTGTCCCTGGCCCTGTTTGGTCGTGCGGGTGGCAGCCACTCGATGTGTCCCTTCACGTCGATGTTTCTGTATGTCTCTCCCTTCCACTCTATCTGTACAAAAAATGGAAAAATGTCCTCGGGTGAGGATAAAAAAAAAAAAAAGAAAACTAGTGTAAGCTAAACAGTGACAGAGAGGACAGTTATGGTAAGGAGGTCGAAGAGTCCACAGAAATCCAGGATAACCCCAACTCTTTTAACTCACAAATAGCAGGAATTGAGGCAATTCCTGGCTCATTCTCTGGGATCTCATAATGATATATGAGGGCAGAGTTCATATACATCACTCCAACATCCCCTGTTCAAATTTTTTATGGTAAAATCACTATTTTTAATTTATCTATTAGTTACCTCTGTAATTTCCAATATTAGAATTGAACCACTGTCTCTGGCTCCATCAAATTCCAGCTCTACCTCCAAACTCCCAACGTCCTGCTCTTTAAACATGAGCCCGTTGACATACCTTCCCTTTCTTCAACCTGACCCATTCTGGTAAGCTGTCCTATGGTTTAACATCATAAAGGAGATAACTTGAACATATTTTTTGTAACCATGATTAAAATCCTCCATGCTGTGTCTACAGGTTGATTCTAAAAATTGAAAACTAATATACAAAACCGTTTGTGTTTTTATGATAAATAAAATTTTTTAATTGCTAAAACAAATGTGCTCTGATTATCCTTCCTTTTCTACATTTCAATATTATAAATCCTACTCAAGATGAAGAATCTCCTTTCATATAATCCACCAATGAATCAAAACCATGCCTCATGTTAGTTACTTCACATCCTCATATAGGATTTTATTTTCCTGGAGTTTTTTCTTAAGCAGCCTTATTAGGATATAACTTTTTATTGTTGTTAAGCCTCACCCAGGGATATTTTTCCATTTTTAGTTTAATTTAATTTTTTAATATTTATATTTATTTTATTTTTGTTACAGATGTTTCTCCTTATTTTCCCCATTGACACCCTCCTCCCCATTCCACCCCCCCCCCCCACATCCCAGGCTTTGTTGTCCGTGTCCATCGGTTATGTGTACATGCATATAAGTTCTGTGGTTTATCTCTTCCCTCCCCCCACCACTCCCTCTTCTGAGGGTTTTCAATTGTACCCTACTTCCACATCTCTGGGTCTACCCCATTCCTCAGACTGTCATCTTCATTATATTCCACAAATAAGTGAGATCATGTGGTATTTGCCTTTCTCTGCTTGGCTTGTTTTGCTAAGGATAATACTCTCCAGGTCCCTCCATGTCATCTAAAAGGATAAGAGATATTTCTTTCTTATAGCTGCATAGTACTCTATTGTGTATATGTACCACTGCTTTTTTATCCATTCACCTACTGATGGACACTTGTGCTGTTTCCAGATCTTAGCTATTTTAAACAGTGCTGCTATGAACATGGGGGTACATATATTCTTTCTGATTGGTGTTTCAGGCTTCTTAGGGTGTATTCCTAGACGTGGGATCACTGGGTCAAATGGCAGTTAGATTTTTAATTTTTTGAGGTAACACCATAGTGTTTTCCATAGTGGCTGCACCAGACTGCATTCCCACCAGCAGTGTACTAGAGTCCCCTTTTCTCCACACCCTCTCCAGCACTTGTTGTTTGATGATTTGTGGATGGCGGCCATTCTGACAGGTGTGAGGTGATACCTCATGGTTGTTTTAATTTGCATCTCTCTGATGATTAGTGATGTTGAGCATGGCGGCCATTCTGACAGGTGTGAGGTGATACCTCATGGTTGTTTTAATTTGCATCTCTCTGATGATTAGTGATGTTGAGCATTTCTTCATATGTCTCTTGGCCATTTGTATGTCCTGTTTGGAGAGGGGTCTATTTAGCTCCTCTGCCCATTTTTTAAATTTGGTTCTTTGTCTTTCTTTTGTGAAGTTGTATGAGTACTCTATATATTTTGGAAATTAACCCCTTATCTGATGTATCATTGGCAATTGTGGTGTCCCATATAGTGGGTTGCCTTTCCATTTGGATGGTTGTTTCTTTTGCTGTGCAGAAGCTTTTTAGATTGATGCAGTCCCATGTGGTAATTTTTTTCCTTTGTTTCTGTTGCCTTAGGTAATGTATCATTGAAAATTCTGCTGTGTATGATGTCTGAAATTTTGTTGCCTACATTTTCTTCTAGGATTTTTATGGATTCACGGGTCACATTTAAGTCTTTTATCTATTTTGAGTTTATTCTTCTGTATGGTGTCAGTTGATGGTCGAGTTTCATTTTTTTTTGAATGTAGCTGTCCAATTTTCCCAACACCATTTATTAAAGAGGTTGTCTTTACTCCACTGTATGCTCTTGCTTCCTTTGTCAAATATTAATTGAGCATAATGTCCTGGGTTCATTTCTAGGTTCTCTGTTCTGTTTCACTGGTCTATATGCCTGTTCTTGTGCCAGTACCAGGCTATTTTGATTATAGTAGCTTTGTAGTATAACCTGGTATCCAGTATAGTGATCCCACCTACTTTGTCCTTCTTTTACAAGATTGCTGTGGCTATTCGGGATAGTTTTTGGTTCCATATCAACTTTTGAAGTATTTGTTCTAGTTGTGTGAAATATGTCATTGGTATTTTGATAGGAATTGCATTGAATCTATAG